TCCATCTTCATATATTGCTTATCTTATAGTCTGCTTGTCTGCCTTTCCAGATATCTTTCTACGATCTCTTTCACCACACACCTGCCTACGTGTTTCCTAGTGTGTGCACTGGAGACCGGCCATGATCTGTTTCCAGGTTCACAGGTGAGGCGGGGAAACTGACCTCGGGGTCAGCACTCGCTCCTTTTCCTCTCCTCTCTTGTTCCTTCTGTCTGATGTAGCAGGGAAGGGGGGTGTGGGAGTGAGAGGAGAGAGGGAGGGGGGCGGGGAACAAGGGAGAGAGGGAAAAAGATAGGGAGGGAGGGAAGGCATAGACAGAGAGAAAGAGACACGTTGACACACCACATACAAAACTTAGGAATATTAACGGATGAGACTCTATAAAGGCATACAGAGTCTTTTGTTTACATGTCAAGACACTGATATGAATTCAAGAGAAATAGAGGGAGAGAGCTAGAGAGAGGGGGAGAGCGAGAGAGAGAGGGGGGAGGGAGGGGAGAGAGAGAGAAAGAGAGCGAGGGTGAAGGAGAGAGAACGAGAGATAGAGAGAGAGAGAGCGTGTGAGGGAGAGGGAGAGATAACGAGAGAGAGCGAAGGAGAGCAAGAGCGAGAGAGAGAGAGAGAGCGAAGGAGAGCAAGAGTGAGGAAGAGCGAGAGAGCGAGAGCGAGGGAGACGAGAGAGCGCGAGGGAGCGAGAGAGCGCGAGAGCGAGAGAGCGAGAGCGAGAGAGCGCGAGGGAGAGCGAGAGAGCGCGATGAGAGCGCGAGGAGAGTGAGAGCGCGAGGGAGAGCGATGAGGGAGAGCGAGAGAGCGCGAGGAGAGCGAGGGAGAGCGAGAGAGCGCGAGAGAGCGAGAGAGCGCGAGAGCGAGGAGAGCGCGAGCGAGAGAGCGCGAGGAGAGCGAAGAGCGCGAGGGAGAGCGAGAGAGCGAGGGAGAGCGAGAGAGCGCGAGGGAGAGCGAGAGAGCGCGAGAGCGAGAGAGCGCGAGGGAGAGCGAGAGAGCGCGAGGAGAGAGCGAGAGAGCGCGAGGGAGAGCGAGAGAGCGCGAGGGAGAGCGAGAAGAGCGCGAGGAGAGCGAGAGCGCGAGGGAGAGCGAGAGAGCGCGAGGGAGAGCGAGAGAGCGCGAGGGAGAGCGAGAGAGCGCGAGGGAGAGCGAGAGAGCGCGAGGGAGAGCGAGAGAGCGAGGAGAGCGAGAGAGCGCGAGGGAGAGCGAGAGCGCGAGAGCGAGCGAGAGAGCGAGGAGAGCTGAGCGAGAGAGAGCATGAGAGCGCGAGGGAGAGCGAGAGAGCGCGAGGGAGAGCGAGAGAGCGCGAGGGAGAGCGAGAGAGCGCGAGGGAGAGGGAGAGGAGAGCTGCAACGCGAGACACGAAGGCGGCGCCCGACACGTCACTCGACGTCACTGGGAAACTACTTCAGCCGTGGAGGAAATCCTGGAAGGTGA